CTTAAGATCCATGACTAACACGGTCAGCATTGTGACCAGAAATGTGCTGTTCCTCCAACGAGTTTGTTCTAAATAAAACCTTACAGCTCAAAATAGTGGTATCGCTGCCTCTCTCCTGCTGTTATTGCAGGTCCTGCAAATATGCATCATCCTTCTCACCGGGACACCGGTGACACCACCACGGCTGGCGGGGCGGCTGGGGACGGCTCCCTCTCTTCGTGTGCTGGGTGCGCAGGCTTGCAGGGCAAATGGGACCCCCATTGCTCCGCTTCCAGGGGGGCCTGAACCGGGTCAGGAAGCAGTTAGGCTCCAGACTTTGGAAAGACTTTTACAGCACGATAGTTATTTATAGAAGCCCGAAACAGAAGCGAGAGCCTAGAGAGCAGCAAGAAAGAGGACACGGCAGGGCTATAGCCAAGCCTGGCACGCCTACTGTACAGCATCGCGGCTTCGCTGCAGGGCTTGCAGTACACGCGCTTGGGAAAGTTCCCTTTCAGGCCTCATGGGATGTTGCCATGCAGCTTTTCATTGCTCTTTTCACCCCCTGCACCCCCACCACCGTGAAATGGGCTTCATATTTCCCCCCACAGGCAGCAGTGACTGGCAGCAGCTTGTGAAGGCGGATCTGATCTGCTGCAGGAACGGCGGACTTGATCTGCGGCCGGGGCTCCCCGCTGCCGAGTGGGGCCAACCCGCTGCGCCTGCCCCCAGGCAGCACCTGCCCCCGGGCGAGATGCATGTGGCAGCTGGAGGTAAAGGAGAACATTTCTCATCTGGTTTTCATTTCCACTGCAGGGGAAAGCTGTCAACAGCACTGGAGACTGGGAGTCCTAGGGAGACCAAACCAGAATTCAACGGCAGGGAAAGGTGTCAACCAGGCTGCTTCTAAAGCCCCTGTGCCTTGGGCTGGGCTTTTCCCAGCTGTCTCCAACACCATCAGCACCTTTGTCCTGCTCTTTCTCTGGGGTAGGGTGAAGGTGCATAGCGCAGTGAACAGCCCCAGCACAGCACCCTAGAATCATAGAATCGTTTAGGTTGGAAAAAACTTTTAAGATATTCCCTCCTGGGAATATGAAGCACCTAGTCTGCAGGACAGCAACCTCCCCGGCCAGGCAGCTGGCACCAGCCAGCTGAGCGCGGGGCTGGGACCTGGGCTAGGAGCTGCTCCTTTTAGCTCACCTGTGGTGCAGCAGTTCCTTCAAAGCTGGCTTTGGCTCCTCTGGCCTCCTCTACTGACATCCACAACAGCAGGGCCAGGCCGAAGTGACCTCCAGACGGGTGCCTGTCCCTGCTCTGTGCAAATGCCTCGAAGCCCGGAGTGGCTGCACCCAGGCAGGTGAGATCTCATCGGTGGCTGCTCGGGCACAGATGCGGAGCCACCGGCCACACGCACCCTCTGCCTGGGGCTCCTTCCCCACCTCTGCACAGGGCAATCCAGAGAGCAGCTCCCTGGAGTGGGGCCAGAGAAGTGAGAAGGAAGGATGCAAGAGGCAGGATCCAGTATTCAAGAAAACGTCTTTATTGTACATGTTGGCTTCTATTGCTTGTATCCCCTCCCCAATCCCATGTAGTGCAAAAAATTCAGAGAAACTGAGTTCCACATAAATAAGTCAGATAACTTACAGAGAAATCAGAGTGACGACAGTTTGACATGGAGTAGACCGGGTCTGCCTACCAGTAAGGCCAAGCGATCCTCTGCCCCCACGTCGGGGCAAGGGCTCCTGCCTAGCCTTGCTGTCTCACTGCAGACTGACGCCGGGGTCCCTGGGCGAAACACATCAACACACACAGCCTGGAGCCACCCGCTCAGGGATGCTCCTCCCCTGGGAAAAGCTCACATGGGAAAAAAATCACACAAATAACATTTTGGGTGAGACACCACTAACTAAAACGGGCAGAAAAGCCACACACAGTTGACAGTTCTCCTCCCCTCAGATAGGGTACTACGCACAGACAGACAGACACAGACGCACGTCCCCTCCGAGGCCTCCAGCTCAGCAAGGGATGTGCAGCACCAGAAGCAATTCCACCCTGGGATCTCCCAGGGCAGATGCTGACACCTCATGTCCACACAGTGTGGGTCGGGGTGCTCCGGACCCCCGCAAGCTGCTGGGGAACTATTTTGCCCTTTCCTTCTTTCTTTCTCCTTTACAGGAAAGCAGTGAGCACCTGCATAGTTAGTACATCAGAGACACAAAAGGCTCCCTCCTCCCCAGGTTTCTGCAAACAGGCTCAGTGGTGATATTGCTCAGGACCCAACCGGCTGGTGACAGGAGTCACACTGCCTGTTTCCCTGATCCTCAAGAGGCAGGACAGCATTGCACGCCATTTGTAGTGTAAATTGCTAAAGATTGCAACTGGGGACAAGGGCATATGGCACAAAAATTCTCCTCAGCCCGCTACGCTGCTTGCTTCCCCTCTGGTTTTGCCTGCCTTCCGCCCCCCAAGGCAGCAGCCCCTCTTCCCGCTACAGCAGCAACAGCTGGACCAGAAGCTGAGCCACTGCTACGACGACACATTCCTTATTTGAAATCAGCCCTGTTTCTCCCTTCAGCAGTTCCTCTCTGGCCCTGCCCTGCCCCTCCTTGTTGTAGGGGCTCCCTTCAGCAGGCTGGCTGGGCTCCGCTGTCCTTACGCCATTCCTCACGCAGCAACCTCGGCACGTCGGGCCAAGGCCCAGCATGGGCACCTCTCACTGCTGACACAGCCGTGGGGCTTTCGGGCTGATCCTCCTTCAAAGAAGACCCTAGAGCCAGGGGCACCTTGAATGTGCTGGTCAATATGAGTTCAGCAGAAGACTAAAATCCTGATGTTGCTTATAGAAATGGGAAAAAAAAGGATTGAGACCTCGCTCATGCGTAGGCATACGCATGCACAGGCACGCAACGGAGCAGACTTCACTGATTTCATTGTTACTTCGAACAAAGCATATTCATGTGACCTACTTAGGGCAGCCCTACTGCCACGTTGACCAAGAGGCAACCTGCACGAGCAGAGCCTGGACGTTTGCAGGGTCTTCTGCAATACAGAGGAATGGGAGAGCTGCCGAGCTGTGACAGGCTGGGGCAAGGGCTTGGCAAGCGAGAGGGAAATGAAAAGCAGATTTAGAGTCTGTTCTAAAAGCCAAAAAGGCCTCCTCAGCCTGAGAAGCCCAGACTGTCCTTGGGGAGAGGCTGGGAGGAGAAGCAGCCCAGATTTTCAGAAGCTGCTGGTAATTTCAGGTGTCTGACATTAGGCACTGTAAGTGGGCTTGTAAAACATGCAGGCACCTGTCCAGGAGAAATCAGATCGCCGTAAAAATTGTCTTAAGTTGGGGAGTCCCTGTCTCGTCTCAAACTCTCCTTCCACCCCAAAGAAAAGATAAAAGAAAAAAATCCCTAGCCACTTGAAAATTTAGGCCAATAAATACCATCGCAAGTGAAATCTGAACTCTGTAAATGAAAAATGAGAAAGAGTGGGGGGGAAAAGGATAAAGGAATTAGTTCAAAACAAACAGACCGTATTTCCAATGCTACATTTGAACACTATTGAGGTACCAGTGGTTGAGTCATTCCTCTCTAATGTGGAGAACACCTGATAATACATCTCAGCTCAAGGCTCATACACACACCCTACAGCATACGCATTGAAAACACCACCCAAGAGGTTCCATGGCACAGGTGGGTCTAGGACAGGCCTGTGACTTACAGTACTAATTTATTCAACCTTTAGTGAATTAAAGCGGTTGCTTAATTGCCAGGGAGTCACTAATTGCAAATGGTCCCTTCCATGCTGTTTTCACTGTACATACGGTATCTCACACATGCACGCACACCCACACATCTACAGAGAATGTCTTCCAGGACACACTCGTCATCTCATCAACAAATGAGAAAAGTAATTGCATCCCTTCTGCTGCCTTAAAAGCAGATGGGATGGGGAATTCCAGGACAGCATAAAAAATAAAGGGATATGAAGTCATTGAAAATTAAAGTATTAGCATTCAAATAAAAAAAGACAAAAAATTAACACCGAAAAAAGTAACACCAGGCAATCCTCCTCATTTAGAAGGCTGGACTGTTCTTCTTTAAGAACTGATACCTTTCCATAAACCCAGAATCTGCTTTGCAGAGAGGGGAACCGCAAACAGGCTGATCCGTTCCCAGCCAAACTGTGAACCAGGACCAGAGAGCAGGCAGCCGCAGTCACTTGAGCCTGGGACAGCAGTGGCATGGATGCAAACAAGGTCGCTCAACCCATCTGCCTGGCTGGGGACTCCCCAGAGCAATGGTCAGCTGGGATCTTAGCGAATGAGGTGGGGCCAGCTGAGTATGGAAACACTGGAGGGTTCAGGATGCTGCACCCAGTTTTGTCTCCAAACCTCACCTCCTCCAGGCCCTGCCCCTTAGCTGGGCTTCTTTTGTTTGTGTATTTTAAGGCATCAATTAGACACCATTGAGAACCATACAGTGGCCTCAGAGTCTTTAACAGTGCACAATAGGCTTGGTAAAGAGTTTGGCTACAGTGACATTCAGAGGAAGGTCGCACATTCAGCCGTGTCCTTGGGAGGAGTGCTGTCCACCTCTGCCACCCCACAGGACTCCTGGAAGCCTCCAAGGCTGGCTGTGCTCGTTATCATGTGTGGCACCGGCTGGATCCCGTGAATCCAAGAAGCAGCAATGGTTTAAAGTTTCCCCTCCCCAAAGAAAATACACATCCTTTGGGCGAGTGGTGAGATGAGTCTGAACGGAGCAGAGAGCACCCCCCTCTCCTCGCCCTCTAGAAGGAGGGTGCTCGTCCAGGAAGCACATTTCTAACTGCTGTGGTCGTGCTGATCCGATGTGTGCACCAAGAGCGGGGATGGCTCCGGGGGTTCGCAGGAGTGGTGGGGCTGGAGGCAGCAGCCGGAACCTTCGCTCTCCTCCTACAGCGACCGGCTGCCCCGCGGGGCCGGCCACGCTGGCCTAGCGCTCCGCCAGGCACCCCTGTCCTCTTGAGGTAAGGCAGGTCCTGATTCTTTGTCAAAGGCTCGTCGAAGACACCGACAGGGTGGGCGAGGAGGGGGGCGGGAAGTTGAGGAGTTCCAGCACAGCCACCCCCACGCTGCTCCGGCGTGTGAACATGCACGAGGCTGCTACCCACTTGTTGGTACGGGGGTTGTACTTCTCGATGGAGTTTAGGCTGGAGCTCCCATCGTTGCCGCCCACTGCGTACAGCCACCCATCCATGGCCACCAGGTCGTGGGTGCTCCTGGAATGACCATGCAGAGATGACAGGGGTGTGAGGCTCGAACACGGTGTATGTGGGGTGTAGGGGAGCTCAGCACCTCAGATGAACTGGCCTGAGCTCTGTCACCCCATGAAAAGGAGTGCCCAGCCTCACAAATGCCCAGTGAAAATGAACCGCTGGGACTCGGTCAGTCAGTGGCAGAGTGCAGTACAGAGCCTCAGATCTTCCCCTTCACTCTGATACCTTCCTCCCACTGAAGTGCCACCTCTAAATAACAGGCCCTAGGAGCCTAAAATCCTTGGACTTCCAAGCCTTAAATCATAGAATCATAGAATTGTTTAGGCTGGAAAAGACCCTTAAGATCATCAAGTCCAACCATTAACGTAGCACTGCCAAGTCCACCACTAAACCATGTCCCTGAGCACCACACCTACACATCTTTTAAATACCTCCAGGGACAGGGACTCAACCACTTCCCTGGGAAGCCTGTTCCAATGCTTGACAACCCTTTCCATGAAGAAATTTTTCCTAACATCCATTCTAAACCTCCCCTGGCACAACTTGAGGGCATTTCCCCTTGTTACTTTGGAGAAGAGATTGATACCCACCTCACTGCAACCTCCTTTCAGGTAGGACCATAAGGTCTCCCCTGAGCCTCCTTTTCTCCAGGCTAAACAACCCCAGTTCCCTCAGCCACTCCTTATAAGACTTGTTCTCTAGACACTTCATGAATCCTCACGCAGCCCGGCAACATCTCCTACGAGGCCTCAGCCAGCTATACCAGCTGGTCCTTTATGGCCACACAGACTACTGATAATAAATCCCTCTGCAGAAATGCCTGCTGCAGAACGTCCCCGCACTGCCCTCCTGGCACACATGCACCAGTCCCTCACAGTGCAGCAGGGAGCATGGGCTGCCTTTGTGCAAGCTGCATGGAGCCAGCCAAATGCAGCGTTAGCCAGGCCCGGGGGCATGGTCTGCATTTTACACTTTGCAGTGCCAAGCAAGGCAAGGCTGTCTGTGAGATGGGATCCCCATTCCTGACTGCAGCAGCTGAGGCTGCCCTGCAGCTCGGGATTGTGGCAGGGGCAGAGCTCCTTACCTACGGATGTTCATGGGCGCCACGCTCTCCCATGTGTTGGTTTTGGGGTTGTAGCGCTCAACAGAGTTAAGGCAGCTGGTCCCGTCATTGCCACCAGCCACATAGAGCATCCCCTCCAGCACGGCCACTCCTGCGCTGCTCCGGCGGCTTAGCATATTGGCAATGGGTGTCCAGGTGTTGATCTGGGAAGAGGCAATGTTTGTTTGTCAGCCAGATGTACAACCCATTTCCAATGTACCCCTGCCAACCCAGTCCTGTGATATTAGTCCTGCTCTAACCACCTAATGGTCATCCCCCAAAAAGACTTTTGGGGAGACCCCAGTTCTTTCCCTTCAACTCTCCCGCAGGAAGAGCTGCAGGCCCCAGGAGAGACCTCTGACAACTGGCTCAGGAAAGCACAGCCACAGCTGGCAGGAGTCCTGCCATCCCAGGGGCCTGAGCAGAGGGATCTCTGTGCCAGGCCACCAGTCACACCATAGCTGAATCCCAGCCCAGTCATGGGGGTTGAGCCGTATCCATTTCAAATCCGTACAAGTCATGACTGTGGCTTTACAGCTCATGAAAAACCTCCAGGACCTTCTCTTTTATCTTTTTGCAGTGGCCTAGCCTGCTCTAACAGAGCTGTGAGACCCCAGGCCCAACACATGTCCCCAGCCTGCCACAATCCCCGCTAACCGCTCTGGATGTGCATGCAGCAAGGACCTCAGCTGGAAGCTGGAAACAGCTCAGGGCATGAACAAGAACCGTTCTTCCAGAGAACTTGAGCTGGCCTACAGGCAATGGGGATAGAGAGTGTTCTGGTGGTTGGAAATCTCAAAGACATATCTTGGAGCCTGCATGGATGAGCTTTGGCTCATTTTGCTCTGGATCGCACCCTGGATACTCTGCCCCTGCAGAAGAGCTGGGGAGCGGGCTGATACCCACTCCATCTCATAGTCATGCCTGGTGGCTTAAGTCTCCAAGGAGGCAGGCAGGTCTGTATTGCACAGGCTCACGTGAGCACGCCTTCTGCTCCACTGCTGCTGCAATACCTTGCTAGGAAGTGGTCACATCTTAAGGTACAGCAGCAGTTTGCTAAGAGACCACGCATAGCTGATCTCTCACTGTCTGCTAAGTTCTTTAGCAGTTTGTGTGGCCCTCAGCTTTCTGCAGGGCCCTTCCAGGCACTCATCAGGAGGGGAGAAGGAAAAGGTTACCAGGCATGCTCTCTCTTGTATTTACCTGGGGCTCATACTTTTCTACTGTGGCTAAGTGGGATGAGCTGTCATATCCCCCAACAGCATAGAGGTTGCCTTCTGCAAAGACAGTCACACACACACAGGAGTTAGCTAAAGAGCACGGCCCCAGCCCCAGCACAGCCTCCCACAACTCCTGCTCAGGGTGCCCGTAGGTATCAGCTGAGCCGCAGTGCCTCCTGCTCCCCTGGCAGCCAAGCTCCTCTCAGCAGGGCTCTCCCAGCTCCCCCTCCCCACGGAGGGACGGAGCCTTGTGAAATATTCATCAAGCAATTTCTCTGCCACACTGCAAGCTTCCCGAAGAGCTCGTTCGCCTGCTGCTTCTTGACCTCCTCATTATGGGAGCTGCAAGTGCTCCCCACCAGAGCAATGGGTTATTTTTAGCAGCGGAGGCTGGAGCAGGGGAATGCCAATAAAGGCCGTGGCAGGCAGAGGGGATGAGCTGATGATGGAGGGGAGGTAACCTCTGAGTCAGCACCGAGAGCTGAAACCAGAGAACAGGGCAGGGAGAGGCACCACAGGGACACCAGCAGTTCCTGGGACAGTGGGGAGCAGCGTGCTACCCTGGCATCCCCAGGGAGGTCCAGCACCTGCTAGGCTGGGCAGCGGTACTTGCATTAACCCCATAGCTGCACTGAGCAATGAAGTGGCCAGTTCCCACACTGCATCCTCCTTAAGGACAGAACTCATTCAGTGGAGTCAGGGGACATCACAGCATTGCACCTATTGCTGTGACACTCCTGGTAGAGACAGTTTTGACCCCGTGCTACCACTTGGATCATCCATAAAAGGACCATCCTGCTTTCATAATGAAGGAGTAATAAGGTTGTCTCTTCCTTTCCAGGGACAGGTGATCGTCCACAGCCAGTCCTCTTGCTCCAAAGTAGAAGGGGCACAAAGGAGCTGAGGAACGAGTTGTGGGTCCCCTCAGGACTTGCCTCCAGAATGTGATGAAACCCAACTACTAAGGAGACTGAGGAGGAGGGCAGGGGCAGGGAGCATGTCAGGACAGGGCAAAGGAATGGCTGGGCTACCCGGACTCACAGCTAGGTAATCTAGGAAGAAGGGGCAGGAACTAGAACAGAATAACATCAAAAAGAACCACCAGAAATGCAAGAGACAGTCTGCACAGAAGCCAGTCAGGTCCTCATGCCATCACCCACCTAGCGTTGCCACCCGGACGTAGCGCCTCCTGGTGCTCATGGCAGCGATGGATGTCCAGGTGCCTGTCAGAGGGTCGTACCGCTCTGCGCTGCAGCAGGCAGGGACACAGGAACAGAAGGTGTGACACTGGCAAAGCCCAGGCCAAAGCTCTTTGACACAGGCCCTCAGGGGCAGCTCCCAAGGAAGCTTGGGAGCAGACGGGGAAAACGGAGGGAAGGACTGACAAAGGCTACGTTCTGTTGTGGCACAGGGCTACAAAATGGGTTTTTCCCTGAAGAAACTTTGCCTGCACCAAAGACACTGGAAGACAGAGCTGGACTGCAAGATATCTACTCTGGGGCCGGTCCATCTGTCAGGAGCAGGTCTTGTCGGCTCCCCAGGCACCCAGCGCCAAGGACAGAGCATGCAAGAGCAGTGGAGGAGCCTGTGGCCAGGCAATCCCCTACCTGTTCAGGCACGAGGCCCCATCGTACCCCCCAGCAGCATAGAGAAGCCCGTGAAGCGCTGCTACACCCAGGCAGCTCCTCCTGGTGCCCATGGACACCTCAGGTTGCCAGGAATTGGTGACAGGATCATAGGACTCCACTGTGGCCAGATCAGAGGTCCCATCGTAGCTGTAGGGAGAAAAAGGGAAAGCGTGTAAGAGCTGGGAAGCCTGAAATGCAGGTGAGGCTGCAGGCTGGTCCTACAGCTCTGAAGCCGACCAAAAGCCTTGGTCTCTGTCACCACCCCTCCCCTCTCCCCCCTGCCCAGCATCCTGCAGACAGAGTGCACCGAAGGACCTGCTGCAAGTGCAGAGCCCTTGGCTGAGCTCTGCTGGTGGCCTGCAAAGAAGGCAGGGCTCAGAGGGCCCCCACGCACTGGGGCAGAGGTGGGCTGGGGAGTTAGCAGGCTCTGAACAGCCTGCAGCACAGGGCTAACGCAAACGGGAGGAAACAGCGCGAGTCTAGGACGTAGCCGGCACCAAAGAGAGCTAGCAAACTCGCTGCTCGGAACTGCAGGGGCAGGGGAGTAGTCTTCAGTTGCTACTCCTGCAGTTAGTAACCCTGAGATACTGGATTGCTTCATCCAGAGGCTGGCCCCGGGAGGCTCTGCTGGCCATCCCTGCTCCCAGAGCAGCTCTGTGCCGCTCTCTCCATCGGCTCTGTTCGGAGGCGGCTGAAGGCATCCCTGCCAGCTCCCTGTGCACGCCCGCCGTGCCCTCCTTACCCGCCCACGGCATACAGCTTGTTCCCAATGGCAGCAACGCCCACTCTGGCCCTGCGGGTCGACATGGAGGCCACCATGTGCCACCGATCCGTCCGCGTGTCATAGGCCTCGCAGTCCCCGTGGATGGCGAACAGGCTCCCCCCACCTGCGCACAGGACGGCAAACAGAGCAAGCAACAGTCCAAGGCCCTGGGAAGGGGTCTGCGTGTACGTGAGCGCGCGGCGGGGCCTTACCCTCCTGCTGTTGCTAAGGACCCCTCTCTGCTCCGGCATGAGGTGGTACTTGAGGGCTTCGATCAGCAGGTCCTTGCACTCCGAGTGATGCCGCACCAGCAGCTCTGTGTCCACGTTGCTCATGAGGAAGTCCCGGCTCAGCAGGGGCAGTCGCACGCACTTCATAAGCTGAGGGGAGAGGAGTCGCACCCCATCGGCAGGGCAGGAAGGGTTCGTCCCAGTGCTGCCCCCACAGCTCCCCTACAAACCCCTGGGACCCTGGCAAGGCTGACTCCACCTGGAGATGTCACCCTGCTCGCTTGGCAGGACAGGCACCCGGTGACAAAGGGCACCGAAGCACGTGCAGCAATTCAGCCCTAATGTCTCTGCAGAGCCAGGAGCCCTCGGCCCGGCCGTGACAAGTCCCACAGCCACCCCAGATCCCCACCTTGCCCTCTGCCAGTGCCCACATCTTCTTCCAGCACCCATACTACAAGTGACAATCCTCGCTGCGGGGCTGCAGAGCCCAGACACCACCTCCCTCTGCCCAGCACGCCCCATGTTGCCTGCATTGCCCACAGGAGGGATGTCTGAGCGCACACAACCAGCAAGGGTGGAGACAGCACTTCTCTAGGGTCAAGCCCTGGGGTAGGTGGAAACCCGGGGGAAACCCACAGACAGAGTCTTCCTCATCCTGCCCCATCTCAGTCGCAGCCTTCGGGAGGACACCTAAGGATGCCTCCTCCCACTGCTCCCACCCGCTGCCTGCCTGGAAGCATGAGAGCGGCAAGGTGACAGGAAGCCAGGGCTGCTGGAGGCACCGACAGCCTCCACTGCAGTGCGAGGCTGCATCCGTGAGAGGGTGCCCACGCTGTGCCAAGCACTGGCAGCCCCGAAGGAAAGTGCTTAACCATGTCTTCTCCAGTTGCACCTCTGGCAGGCAGGAGGCTCGCAGATCCATGCTCCAAGGTGCAGATGCAGAGAGACAAAAGCACGAGTTAAAAGAAGTCCTCCCCGCTCAAATTTGCCTGAGCTTTTTGTTTGTACGTGAAAGCTCAGGAAGGCTGCAGGCAGGGCTGAGCTCTCCTGCTGCCCACATCCTCCCCAGAGCTCCACGTGCCCAAGCTGCCATGGGTCAGACAGGGCATCCCCTTGGATTTGTCAATAGTTTGGACTTCACTCTGTGAGACTGAACTTTCTCAGCAACACCCTCATCTATGCCTGGACTGGAAGTGCTATGGCAGAGACCTGCTGTCCCTGCCCTCTGGCCACCTTGCGGCTTCCTTCCGCTGTGTATCCACCCAGAGCAGGCACTCAGAGCTCGTGGGTAGAACCAGGACAGCTTCCCCGGCAGACTCACCCTAGGGACATGCTGTCTTCTGCTGTCTACATCGTGTTTGACCCAGCTGAGCACAGCCCGGTACACCTCCTCCTCCGATGGCACATTGAGGCTGTCACTAGAAATGAGGTCCAGCACCTGCAGAGCGGGGTGGAAAGGGCAAGTGTTGGTTGGTGTGGTTTGGGAGGAAAGGACACATTCACACACACAGGTAACTGGCCCAGAAAAACAGCACTGCCAGAGGCAGAGCCTCCACCTCCTATAGGTGCTGGTGGTTGAGGGGTGTACAGCTACTCTCTCTCTCCCTAAATGCAGAAGGATCCAAAGAGCAACCGGGTCCCCCGAACCAGGCAGGTGCAGCTGTGCCTCCCCTCTCCTTGCAGCACTGGCGTGGAGACAGCTCTGCCCTCGATCATCCTCCTTGGCTCAGTCCCCCCATTCTGTGTCTGAAGCTGCTGCAATGCCTGACACTTCCAATCAACATCAGTGAGACCAGGCAGGCGATTCTGCTTGCACCCATCCCTTCAATATTTCGTGGGATAGAGCCAGGTGCCCTGGCTGTTCCCAGCTCGCTCACTTCACCTGCCAAGGACGACAGAGCTGGAGCAAGTGGAGATGCGTACCCTCCTCTTGCTGCCACGCACCCCACTGCCCGAGAATGGGTGAAGGGAAGTGTCTGGTATCCTGGTGAGGGACCGTACAGGGTCGGGTGGTGCAGAGCAAGGACTAGGAATGCCCGCTGGCCAGGGCACAGCACAGCACCCTGCAGGCAGTGATGAGCCGGGGGCCATACTGGCACCACATGAAGAGCAGCAGGAAACATTAGCTGAGCTCCGAATTAAACATCACAGCTACGTGACCAGGGCAGCCAGGACTTACTCCTTGGCCTGTGCTCCCAGAGAGAGAGCAGTGTGCTCAGAGCTCACGTGGCAAGCACCACCGACAGCAATTATCCCCTGTGCTACCCTCCCATACCTATTTCACACAGGATTAAGCTCGCTCTCTGACAGCACTCTTCCCATGTATTGTCTCTCTACCGAACAGAGAGGACCAAAGCACAGAATCTGGGTACACTCCCCTGCCAAACCCTGTCCCCTCAGTGCAGGTTCCTTGGGCTCTTGAAATGCACACTGTGCCTTCCAGGACCGAGCGCAAAAAGCTTTGCCACACCCATACCTTCACACTCCCATCAGGACCTCACCTGTTTAAGAGGCAGCAACATGAACTCCTCTGTCTTGGACACCTCCACGAAGTGTTGGAGGACATACTTGTGCGCAGACTTGAGGAGGTCGCTGCAGGAGTGCGTGTCAGCAAAACCCCGGATCCCCAGGCAGTTGGATGGGTCAAGCTGGCTGAGTAGGAACTTGCAGCAAGCATCCCGCACACCGTTGAGCTGAAGCAGGCTGGCAGCAGGAAGAAGTGTCTGGCAGTGGAAAAGAATGGGGGAAAAGAGAGTTTCCAGGGCAAGGAAACCATTTTCACCCTCATCTCACTGCAAGTCAATAACAGAACAGGCTTACTGGGCACCTTCAGGCACACAAGCACATAGGGGACAAAGCATTCTTTGTTTCCAACAGGACTAAGACAAAGAAGAGCTGAGAAGGACACCCGTAACTCCCCACAGGGCCAGGAAATGGCAGGAGAACGGCAGATGCTCAGGACTAGACCTGGCCATTGCATAGTGCTTTGAGGAGCCATTCTCAGCCACAGCAGTCGCAGGAGCCACACCTCTAGGTGCAGGGGAGCAGACAACTCCCTGACCACTGCTAGATGCAGGTGCCATCACAGAACAACAGCTGAAAGTGCTGAGCAGAGGGAGAGAAGAGCCCCCAGGAGGTAAGTCTCGTACAGAACGCTTTTGCGGAGAAGAGAGATTTGGGGGGAAACTCCTACCTGCACATTCCCCTCGCCCACCACAATCTCGGCCGTGTAAGCATATTGCACCAGCTGCTCCAGGGCCTGCGGGTCAATGTCGTGCAGCGTCACGTGGGTCTGGCGGCTCTCACTCATCTCATCTGGGGCAACACAGATACTAGACATGAGCAAAGTTCCCACAGCAGGATTGTTTCCCCTGAGGAAGACTTGACAATGCATGGAACAAGCTGCATCCACCTCCACAGCCCAGCATCACAGCCCAGACAGGTCTCTTGCCCACCTCTTAGCAAGGAGAAGCAGCAGTATACTCTAGGGAATGGGGTCCATGTCTGCAGGGTGGGCATCAAGATACCTGCGCGAGGGGTTACGGGCAAAGGGCTTTATGGAAGGGAGCCAAATGAGGAGCATTACTGCACTTGCTCACAGAGGTGATATCGCCATAGGGTAGGGCAGCGAGACGAGGGAGCGGGACAGAAAGGGGAGGGCTTTGTGGGGAAGAGAGGGTTTGAAGAGCAGGGAGACCCTGGCCATGGGGAAGAGAGGACGCTACTTGCTTGTGAACATGGCGTGGAAGTACGGGCTGCAGGACGCCAGCACCACCTTGTGGGCCTTGATTTCCTTGGTGCCCACGTGGAGCACAATGTCGCAGAGCAGCCCACGCTGACGCATGCGGTTCATGCACACGAAGGCGTCGTGATAGTGCCGCTTGGAGTTGTGGGAGATGCTGTGGCCGTCGCGGTTGAGGAGCTGCACACCCCCTTCCATGGCTGCAGGTGGTAGATGGTGGGCTTTCCCTTCTCAGCGGCACTGACATGGGGGAAAACCAAAGTGTTACCCAGGCAGGAATAGCTCTAGCCCCAGACAACTCCTGTAGCCCCCAGGTATGCCCACCACTGCTCAAAGACCCTGTGCAAGAACAGCTCCTGTCTAACCAGCCCCTGCCAGGGAAACATCATCCTGCTTATAAACCAGTGATGGGGAGGAGACAGTCCCTGGAAGAACGCAAGTAATGCAAAGCGATGCTAAGACTCTTCTCTGTTCCGTGACACTCACTGCTTCCCAGCTGTGTTCATCTCCGGATTGATATCCTCCTTACCTGCCTTCAGAAGGGTACTGCTCTACAACACATGCACTCACACTGGTTTTCCTTGAAGTTGCACCACCTCCAAATCTGCCTAACAAGGTGCATTTCCATGCAATATCAGCAGAAGCATTGATCTTAGAAGTCTCACCAGGGCATGCCGGTCCTGCATTGATCAAACACAGCTTAAATAGACCACTAGAGGCAGCGAACATGACAACCCTGATTAGCCTAAACAAAAAATAACCAGGGAATCCTGTATCCTAAAAGGCAAGAGTGATGTTATGGACCACAGCTCTTCAAGTGGTGGCTCCTTTCCAGCTTCCAGAAGATGCTAGGAGATTTGTAATGCTTGCACCTGCCTTCAAAAGTTGTGTTTAGAGAGCTGCTCTCTTTCCCATGCCTACACAATTTGGGAGGATAAGGCAGAGGGCAAAGGCAATTGCAGCACAGAGCTCTACAGTCACAGTACAGAATCCTGCAGACCTGGGATTCAACTCTTCCTGCCATTTTGTATTTCAGGCGTCTTTTTGGACAGAGGCTGGGGATTCCCAGGTGGTCGGTTAGGGAACAGGATCCTGATCTCCACTTCCCTCCAGCGTCCTCTACCCAGGCATGTCCAACTTCACCACAGCCTCAAGGCTGCACCAAACAGTGCTGCTCCAGCACCACAGACTCCTGCGCCTGTGCCAGCCTGGCAGGCAGGTTGGGCAAAGCAGAGCTCCTAGATCTCCCTGGAAGCAGCCCCAGCTGAGACCCTGGCTGTCCTTCCAAGAGGTAACTTTGAACTTCAGGTAGTTTTTGTTCGACAAGGCTGACAGGAGGGACAGAGAGCAAAGAGCAGAGATGCTGATCGGGCAGCTGGGACCCGATGCAGAACTCAGTCTGCACATACATGTACACACCACTGCGCGTGGAGCGGGACAGTCCTTCCGCACAATCTGGGACAGCCCAGGCAGGGAGCATGAGCATAAACTCAATCAGTTCGCAGAAAACAAAAATCGCCTAATCAAGGAATAAGGGCATTTATTTGTGCAAAGGTGTTTTCCCTTTCTGTGCTCTCCGCATCTAGGCTGCTCATGGTGTTTCGAAAGGCATTTGACTGTCTCCCTGCCAGCAGCACCCGAAGGAAAGGTGGGGGAGTGAAGAGAGAATGACTGAGCAGCAGGAGGAAGAAGGGGGAGGGAGCAGGAGAAAAAGGCAGCCTGAAGAAAAAAAGCCCGTGTGCTGCAATTGTGCGCCTGCCCCCGCATCCCTGCGGCGAGAGAATCCCCTCAGCCTCTGTGCTCCTCACGACACCTACACGTCGCCAGCCGTGCTGAGCCTAAAAATAGCAACCCACCGTGCTGTGCCTGCTCAGCCACAAATGCAGCCATCTATTCGTTTTTAAATAGCAATTGTATCATGTACTAGAGTCTGGGGGAGGAAAAAAGATGAATAAACATCTTTCCTGAGCAGGAGAGAAGCCTGCAATGCCCTTTTCTATTTGCATCATCCCACATGATATGAGATTCCTCATCTCTCTGTCAGCGGGGAAGACTCACGGGCGCACGACAAAGGCAACGCCTGTTGATGCTTTCCAGCAATGGGAGTAGGATGCCACTGTGCCCTTGACAGGAAACAAGAGCCCATGAGTTAACTGGCCTTCTCCTCCCGCACCCTTCAGCTGAGCTTTTCAGAAAGCTGCAACATCCCTAGGACACCCTCAGTGTGTTAATCCACATGCGTGGACACTGCTGGATGAGAGGTGCCTACACAAAGGCAGTTTATAATTATTAGCATCTCTGCCTGGGCTCAAGAGCTCCTTTCCCAGACCTGCTTTAGTGGCAGAGAACGGACAGTGCTTTCTCGCCTTTATTGTCCTCCCTAGCTGCAAGCCTGAGGGTTCTCCTGACCTGCTCAAGCTGGTTTATCTTTTTAATACACTGCTAGGCATACTTCTCCCCATCGGTATTTAAGTCATGCCCCAGATCTAATTGAGAGCACTCGCCTCTCCCCTCCTGGGCGCTGGTAGCAGATGGGAGCTCCCGGCTCCACAGCAGTGGAAGGACCAGGAGGGACAATACAGGACAGGACAGAGGAGCAGGGAGAAGATGGGACTGCTGCTCATTGCGCTCTCAGAGACTGGTGAGAAAAGGTTTGCTGCCCCGGCCAGGCAGGGGATGTCACGCAGCTCAGCTCCAGCGGTCAGGGGAGAGACACAGAGGGCACAACGGACTGAAGGTTGCTGTAGCCGATGCATTGGCATCACAGCAATCAAACACATTTCCAAAGAGGGTCGGAAGTGCTGGGCTCTCTTCCCAGCCCTGCCACTGAGTCATTGCACAACTCTGGGAGAGTACAAATGCAGAGAGTGACAAGGGTGACATTATCTTTCCTTGCAATGATTCCCACGGCTGAGAGGTATAGACCAGCTTATTGCTCACTTCCCTCTCCTCCCAAACCCCCCTGCTGTCACCAGTGAGGGCTGGCATGCACCTCACAGAGCTCTGAAGAGCTCGACTGAAACACCCCCGGTGCCTCCTTCACCCACGCTGCTGTGCAGCACCCCGAGCTACGCCACCGCTGCGTCACTTGGTCTCTGATGTGACCGAGCAGGGAGCAGGGCCAGAGGGAGATGCCATCCCAGCCACCGCGCTGCCACCGGGCTCCCAAGAGCATCCCCACGCCGGGGGACAGTCCGCAGCTGACCTGACCCACCGCTGTAGGCAGCCTGAACCAACTCTGCTTGATGGTTCTTCACTACAGCCTCAGCAATCCCCCCTGGAGAGCAACTCACCCACCCGCCAGCCCCCTTGGGAAAAGGCCACCATCCTGGAGCACAGCGAGCCCCGGCACGGGGCTGGCCTGAGGCTTGCAGTGGGTACAGCCCCTTCAGTCCCACTTCCCAGTGTCCCCTCCGCTCTGCAATAACTTGTTTCCATCAGAGCTCTTTTGCTTTAACGGGTCAGAATATAATCAGTGGGGAAAAAGGGAAAGGCGACCCCACCGCTGCTTGTGCTGCTCCCTGTGCCTGAACTCTCAGCCTCACTGGCAGCACTAAATATTCCTTATTTCCTTGTAAAACTTCATTCCCAGGAAATGAAGGTCTATGAGCACCGCTAAGATATAATTAATGGGGAACAGTGCCTGGATCACAAGAGACAGTAAAGCAGTGTCCAGAGCTCCAGCGGGGGAAAGTAAATACAAGCCCACTTTTGTGGAGCATGCAGCAGCATGAATGCACGTGTTACGCATCAGCTATAATGGATGCGGTGGCTGACTTGTAATAACTCTTAGGTTATGACAAAAAAAAGGCGGCGTTTGTTTGGCTCCTATGCGACAGAGCATGGCCATGCATAACAGCTCTGTTAATTAATGCAAATGATCCCTGCCCAAAGGGAGGTCTGTTCTCTCTGCACAAAAAACCATATTTTGCGGAGAGTGAAAAGAAGCGTGCTGAGCAATAAACAGGGAACAGAGTATCCTCCAGGGAAAAGTTCAGAGCCTGCCCTTTCCCCAGGAAGGCCCTGGAGAATGGCTTTTTGTTGACAGCCTGGATGGAGATTTTGTGTCTGCCAGGCTAGCTAGGAGACTGCAAAGACACATCCTGTACAGCTGGTCAGATGTTGGGGATGAGCCTTTGCTGTGGATAAAGTGACATCCCCTACTCTAAAGCACGACGTACCCTAAGCCCTGACACACGATCATGCTTAAATCCCTCACTTCCACGTGTGCCCTATTCCTATGTTGATATCCCAGTACCTCTTTTCTGGTCGATCGGGTACAAAGCCCTGTTTAGTGCGCAGCACCGCATCTCCCACAGAAGCGTTGCCATCAGACCTTCAGGATAAGACACGAAGTCCTCGCTGGCACTCACCTCTACCCCAGCACGTCACGGCACTAACAGAAGGCAGCACAAACGAGGTCAATAAGGTGGCACCATGTTGCCGGTTTCCCTTTCAGAGGAGTGGTTCCTCCCCTTCCTCGGCATTGGGGGTCCATCTCCCAGGCACAAAGTCTTTTTTTTTTTGCCTACAGACATCCCCTGGCTCTGTCCCCAGGCAGGAAGGGGCTGCTGGCAGCGCTACTCTGTTGTGCCCAGCAGCTTCGGATCGCCATTCCGAGCGGTGGGGCCGAAGCAGGGCTCTCCACGACAGCACAGCAAAACTCATCCTGGGGCAGAGCACCAGCACGGACCCCTGGGGAAGAAGGAGCTTGACAGTGTAGTCACAGGCAGGAGTCGCTGCTTCCAAGCGCATCTCCATCCCCCCTAGACCAGAAATCAGAATTCTTGTTTTTAAGCGCACTGAGAGGACTTGCAGGCCATTTGCCAGTAAGCAGCCTCCTGCAATTCAGCATTCCCCCAAAGAACTGAAACGTGCAATGCACATTAAAGCTCAGGGCAGGACTAGAGCGGGGCAGCCTAAGGGGGCACAGGCAAGCCCCTGCCCAGCCGTGTGCGTGAGCATGCAAGCACAAGTAGCTTCTTTTCTCTTGGGAGCAGGGCTGGGAAGAAGATGTCCTCCTGTGTTCTCTTCCTTCCCTTCAACAGTCAAGGGACACAAACAGCTGAGCCGGCAGTAACAATAGCTGCGGTTGTGCTCTTGCAAAGACCACTAATACAGCTTGTACCAGCATCCAGAGATGCAGCCGAGTACACCGCACGCCTGCGAATCTTCACCTTCCTTACTGCTTTGTGGAGGCCCCCTTAATTTGGCTGAGCTATCCCTTTTGTTGAACCCT